GTGTTCAATACATACTGTCATACTAACATCTTAGGTCATCTGTAACAACAATGCTGCTTAGAGAATCAAATCATTAGCCGTTGCACTGGCACCTTGGATGGACCATTACCAACCATTGGTTGGGAGATATTAAACATGATATTATGTGGAAAGGAAATAAAACTATCTTAACTCTCTAGGTTGGTTGGTAAGAGCAACTCCAAAGAAGCCCTCAAATTAGGTCTCTATTTTGTATTTAAGGGCTCTCCCTACTTTTTCTAGGGTCTAATTTTTTTTGCATCACTCCAACGGGAGCCCTTAGATCCATTCAATAGACACTTATATATATGGGACCTAGTCATTATTCCCTATTCTTCTCCTTCCTGTTGCTCCCATCGACTGAGCAATGTGCGCCGACGTGGGGGCATGGCTCTCATCAATAGAGCTATGTGCGTCGACATCGGGGCAGAGGAGTCACGCCCCCGTGACCTGGGGAGCCGAAAGATGGGAGAGGAGCACCGTCGCACCGGGGAGCTGGCGAATGCGGAAGGACGACTCCGACAGCCTTGGCGCCCCTGATCTGGTGACACCGCTTTTTCCCCGTTTAGATGTACATGGAGATGGAGGGTTGCAGGTAGTGGTGTGATGGGAGGGAGTAGGGTGGTGACGCAAGAGAGCCGGACAGAAACCGAAAGGACGCGTCGGAGCGAATTGGGCCGGGAAAATTTTTCTCTGAGAAAAAAATGTAGTACGCAGCTCCCTACACACCCGTGGGAGATGGGCTTGAGGGAACATATTTGCTGGGCTTCATAAAGTAAGGGCCTGACTAAGGGTTTTTCTCTGGCCCTAAAAGATAGAGTAGGAACCCTATATAGGGTTCCTGTTGGAGATCTAATCTCATCGGTGGAAAAAAAATACATAGAAGAATTACAATATCACTTAACTCTTACATTTGCCTAGCGAGAAGATCAACGCCTAGTGGTCGATAGTCACTCATTTAGGATGTTTTTAGACCCATAATAATATATAAGTTATTTGCTACAACATGGCCACCCTTGTAGTGTTTTTTATGATTTCACCCTAATGCTTTTTGTCAATCAAATATTTCCTCCATTCTAAATTATAAGTCATTCTAGCCCTTTTAGATAAATAATCTTTATTATGTATCTAGACATAATAAATATTTAGATGTATAATAAAAATTGTATAAAAAACTAAAATAACTTATACTTTCGAAGGCTATTTTGTTCACTCTAAATACATCATCGTGTTACCTCACGATGCAGCCAATGTAAGGCATTAGCAAGTATGATGCACAACAACAAACACAACAGATCATTAGCGCCCTCGCCCGCCAACGCCTTTAGCCGGTGCACGGCCTCGCCGCTTAGGCGCGGAGGGCGCGTCCCTCGCCCGCTAACGCCTCGCCACCGCAGACGGATCTCCGCACCAACATCAATGGTTGGCGGGACATCCTCCCCGGCAGGAGACGCGTCCGATGGCCGCCTCGGTTGAGCCTCATCCAAAGCAGCTCATGAAGGCCCAGAGGATCCGTGCAGAGTTTCACGCCAGATGTTTCAACCGTCTATCCTGCTCGCGTCGAGTAGCGACTTGTCGGTTGCCACGGCGTTGTCTGTGCTGCCGCGGCTTCGGACACCTCGCCAAGGATTGCGTGGTGGTCCAGCTCGCCGACATCGGCGGCGAAGGGTGCCAACATGCCACGACACTCTGTTCGTGATGACCCCCGACCTCAAGCATGCGCCCGCAAGGCGGTGCGGAGGTGCCGCATGAGGGGCCGTGGGGCGCGCCAGATGGCGGCGATGACGACGGTGGTGCTGGACTAAGAAGGACATCGGCACGGGTGCACTAGCCGACCACGCCGACAACACAACTACTTCTGTTGTTGCACTCTGCTTCACCGAGCCAGATCCGCTGGCGTTGGCGCTGTGCGCGAATGTGGGGCCTCCCGCATGGGTCGTCTCGATTGACCCGATGCTGGAGGAGCTCACCGCCTCGCTCGTCGTGAGCCGACCAGCGAGACAAATAGTGCCCGGATGCCAGCCTACTCTGGAGGCTACCTCTGTGGGGATTGAGGAATCATTGATGGATACTCGTCCTCCGGTGACGGCTGCTCACTCACCTATGTTGTCGCTGGTGCAGGAGCTGCCACAGCTCATGCCGCCTCGGGAGGGACAACTCGATGTCGAAGATCCGTGCACCCCAGTGACGCGACACCCACGCCACGTGATGCTGCTCGGCGTCTCGCAAGGTTCACCGAGGAGGTGCAATGCAAGAGAAAGTCGCCATTGATTGCCAGTCCTCCAAGGCAGAAGGCGGTAACAAAGCGCCCCCTGCCAATCAGGAGCAAGCGGATTGCCGCTCAGCCATTGTCGCACGTACCGGCCTCCAAGCGGGACGAGGTACTACTCATGAAGAGGATGGGCGTCGCGCGCCGCGCGCACCATTTCTTCCGTCCAAGGGAGCATACGACGCTATTTTCGCAAGAAACTTGACGTCGAGCCAAGTTGAAGCTCGGACGAAGTTATTCCCACGACCAACACCGTAGGCGGGTAGAAAACTCTTCTCGGACACCGGAGTAGGATCGCATGACCCGGCGGAGGGCGCCAAGCTTCATAGGTTGCGCCACGCTCTTAGCTTCGGTTGTAGATCTTTTATGTAATATCCAAGCTTGGAGTCGTGCGACTGTAAGACCTCCGACGGCGCTCGTCAGAAGCGCGTCGTTTGTATGACTAAACTCTTCTTCTTAATTGCAATGGAGAAAAAAAAAACAGATCATTAGCGTTGTTTAATCGAAGAACAGAGGAGGAAGCACGTGAGACCATGTGCAAATCCCATACAGTTTAGCTGGACACACAAGCTTACGATAAGGATGAGCTGCTAAATAATTTCGCTCGCCTCTCTCTCTTCCTCACAAAAAAAGTGCATAGTACATATGTTTTCCCGTTCACTAATTAGGTTCTCTTCGTTTCGCTGAAAAAATAAGTTGAAATAATATTCTTGTTGATTTATTAGGAGAGAAAAATATTATTCCAACTAAAAAACAAACGAAAAAGATGGATTATACGAGAAGCAAACAGTGTCTTACGTCGTTTGTATCCATTCATCAGGGCATCAGGCTTCGTGCCCTCCGCCCGTGCTTGGAATGGAACATGCCGTGATGGGCCAAGCACAAATGCCTTAACCGAAGGTCTGTGGGTGACGCTGACGGGACGAGAGAGAGCACGGGTTAGGACTTCCGTTCCAAGTTCCAACACGAGCCGAGTTGGGCATCAGTCCACGGATAAGGATTCTTTCTTTCTGGTCTCCAACGTCTGCAACAGCAGCCACCAGCTTGATCAATTTTATCGGCTCCAGCTTCTGCCAACAGTGATGTCTCGACTTTCAGAAACTAGGAGATATACCGTGATCTCTATCCACCATAAGGCCTGAGACTGTGAAAGAGAGGCGCCGTTGCCAATTTGGCAAACTGCTGATGCTCTTCCTACGAGCCAAGCCAGCTGCTGCCTGCTAGGTAGGACCGTAGGAGTAAGGTCTGGGGAGCGTCCGTGTATTGGGTTTTTTTTCCTCTCATCTGGGCACAACTATAGCATCTGTTCGTACATACGCATACCCACTCAACATACGCATACACTCACACTACCCGTGTACATATAAATCTATAACTATACTCAAATATGAAAATTATACTCAAATATGAAGATTTCGTAAGCGGGCACGTTAGGATCTCATCGTGGCACCACGTCGTGAGAGGCATAAATTATTTGGGGGGCCAGCCCCGGTGAGGCAAGCAAGTTCGTTCCATCCGGAATCGAACCCGCGAGCGGTCGCTTCACACCTGGAAGCCGGACCAACCGAGCTAACGCTCGGTCCTCTCCGTGTATTGACTTGCTTCTTCAACTCGTATTTCAGCCTGCCTGACGGCTTCGTTTCGTCACTTTATTGACGAATCAGCTGGGCGCGAGTCACGTTGTTTTCTGGGCTGATTTGCCTGACGACGCCAATGAAATTTAAAACAACTACCAGCAGCTGCTGATAACTTTTGATTTTTTTTTCTCGAGAGATGGCAAATCTGACTTGGCCCGCACCGACACATGAAACCGCGAGCTCTCATTCTCAATTCTCCGATGTTCCTCACCTCTTCAATCAAAACCAGTGGGCCTCCAGTTGTGAAGTCTGAACCCGCGCGTCCACACCTAACGGCTGCCCGCATCTGCATGGATTACAGGCTACAGCCAGCGGTTCTCGGACCGAGGCCGGCCACCGCCACCGGGAGAATGCATCGCAGTCGCAGGAGCAGCAGCATAGCCTAGCCTCTTCGCCCGCATCACATGCCAGCACGGCGTGCGTGCCCAAGGAGAGCCGAGCAATGTGGACGGTGGACGGAAGTACGGAACACATGCCGTGCTTCCAGTGTGGCAGAGCAGGGCGGTGCGTCGTTGCTGCCTGCTGCCGCTACCTCTACCTGTGCGTGCTTGTGTTGTGCGAGCGGAGCACGGCGACTGACGAGTGGTGACGTTGGCTGTAAAAGCCTGTAATCACGAATTCTCGCTACTGATGAGTTCATGATTTGGCGACGAAATGAATATACGGACAGTAAACGCGCCCAGTTTCTCAGATTCGTGCAAAATATTCATGCCATGTTTAGACATCATCAATTAAGATCGTATCGTATGGTTCAGGGCTTCAGGCTTCAGTCTTCAGTCAGATTCAGAGTTCAGAATTCAGAATTCAGCCTACTGTGGTTCAGAGACGCAGCACTGGACCTGGACGGCCAGCAATGAAAAATTGGGCCGAGTCAAATTGGGGGCTGCAGGCAAGGCCCAGCTACGCGGACCGCTTGTTCACCAACTAAGCCTCGAAAAGGCTGGGCCACTGGGGGAAAGCCGGCCTGCCGCTAGTCGTCTTCTTCTTCGTCGTCGTCGACGACTCGTCGCGGTGGTGCTTGCGGCAGCTCCGGAGTCCAGCCAGGCCGTACGTTAGTCGGGGGGCGAGAGGAGAGGATGGATCGGTCTCTCCTCGTAGCGGTGGTCGCCGCCGTGGTCCTCGTGTGCTGCTCCGGCCTCTGCCGCGGTGAGCGGCTCGGGGCGAGGGAGTGCGAGGGCCTGGGGTTCACCGGCCTCGCCCTCTGCTCCGACTGCAACGCGCTCTCCGAGTTCGTTAAGGACCAAGGTACGCGCGGATCGTTCCTCTGGCCTGCGGCAGCTCGCACTTTGTGCGCTGCTGATAAGGTTTGCGATCTGAACCGGGAACGCGTAGCCATAGGAGTAACTGAGTAAGGAGGGTTCGGTCGGATCCGAATATGTCAATTTTCTTCATTTCGAGTATGAAATCTGCGAAGAGCGATTTCGGTCAAGACGTTTGCCAGCATGCAGCTTAGAAATTGGATCGCTTTAATGCCAAAACTTCAGATGGGATGGGATTTCAGACCACAAACCAATGAAAACCCAATTAATGAACCTTAAAACATGAGAACTATTGGATTAGCTCACTGAGCATTGATGGATTTCATATTTTCCCACGATTCTTTCATTTTTGCAGTCCTGACGAGAGTTTTTTTTTCCCTTCTTCTTTTAATAAAACTTGAAAGGGGCAACGAAATGGATTTCTGGCATTAGTGGAGGCTTTATGAACCTATGCTGATTGTTCTGTAAAATTTGAGGTTTGCCCTTAGCTCAGAAGTTGTACATCAGGTGGTGCTGGTTATGCATTGTCCTCACTGTTTGGGTCTATCGTTTTGGTTAGCCCCCCCTAGTAGCACTCTATAAAACTCGTGTTATCCAGATGCTGCAAGGCCTTAATCTGCTTTCTATAAAAGCCGAGTAATATTGGTCTTTAAGATAGAGTCAAAGAGCTGAAGCTAGCTGCATCAGAACGGATTGGAAACATCATTCATGTCACCAACTGAACACTTAATTTGGAGGAATATATTTTGTCAACTCTGTTTGTTGGTTATTGCAATAATATCTTTTGTCCCGGTTGCTCCATGACTCCATTAGTCACTGTGACACTGTCTATTGGCAAAGAAACTAGGGGTGGACTCATTTCCACATGTGCTATTTATGTGTTATGTCATGTGATTGATTCAAATCTAAACAACTTGTTAGTTGTGTGCAGAGCTGGTGGAGGATTGCCGTAAATGTTGCACCGAGGATTCAGATGATTCTATCAGCAAGGTATGAACTATGAATCTCCATGAATTGGCATAAGGAAGACATATCTTTTACCTGTTGTGGTTTTCTTTACTTTAGGGTTTACAGTTCAAGTTTTTATGCTGGTTTCTGTCTGTCAGTTGGTTTATGTTGATACTGAATAGTGCTTAGATTTTATAGGGATGACCAAACAGTTATCATTTTCAAAATGAATATAGATCTTTATTAGTCTGGAATAATGACATATATTCAAGGCATCACTTGAATGCTAGAGGACCTGAATGGCCAGTAAACGATGTTTTTTTTGGATGAGCATGGGTCTTAGAAGCGCCATATAGTTCTTTACTTGTACTGGATATAGCATCTGACTGTTTGCTTTTGCCTGTTGCAGCTCACATTTTCTGGTGCAATTATTGAGGTGTGCATGAGAAAACTGGTATTTTATCCAGAAGTTGTTGGCTTCCTCGAAGAAGATAAGGACGACTTCCCTTATGTGGAAGCACGTTATTCCTATGGTTCTCCACCAAAGCTCATAATGCTTGACAACAAGGGTGAACAGAAGGAGACCATAAGGCAAGTCCTACTTAACTCTAGAATAAACCTCCAGTTATCTGATTACATTCTTAGACTTCTATTATTACAAATAATATAAGAACTGTCTGCCTGAATCATTTCATATCATCATGTCTTAGTTCATTACACTTATATATGTTGTCTGCTTCCAATCATCCTTGCTCTTGCAGTAATGTCATGTAGTTCATGTAGTACTCTGATGACTGACACAATATGTAAAGAAATGATCGGTTTGTTTGTGCATGCAATGCTTCAAAACATAGTTATAGAAAGTGTACTGCTACTGGAATGCTTCATAAAGCTGCAGTAGTATAATCAATACTGGGTAATTTGCTAAAGTGGCCTGAATTTTCTCTTGGGCACAGCATTCATCTATAAGTGACAGGTTTAAGTATTGTACTGAATAAATTGTCATCTTTCTATATGTGCGCCAATTGCTTAAAGTACCTAATGTATGGTAGAAAAAATGTTCTCAATTATTCATTGGTTCATTTACTGAAAATCTGAAACGGGCTGAGATTGGCAGGATTGATAACTGGAAGCGAGAGCACATTCGACAGTTTCTCAAGGAGAAAGTGAAGCCAGTGAAATTAGACAGCTGAATTATTGCGACAAGTGCCTGAACATTTCCATTTTGACGTTCCAATAGAACCTACGTAACTTGTACTTTGCTAGAAAAATCGTCGCTGATATATGATATTTGCGTTTGCCATCTGTACACCTCAAAATGATTGTACAAGAATCTTGTGTGGCATACTTGTATCGTAAGGTAATATCTGGCACTGTGATTCGTGAAAAGTGGTTAATGTACGAGTTGTTTCCTGGTTAATTTCTAGAGTTGTTCTGAGTTAAATTTTTTATATGACCGAATTTATAAAAAATAGCACAGATATTTATGAAACTAAATATATTTTATGTACATCTAATGATACTAATTTGGTGTCATAAATCTTACTAAAATAAACTAGAATAATGCAAGCATATGTAACTGGTAAGTCTAGAACTTCCAGGTGGGAAAGTAATGAACATTTTGCACACCTCTTATAATCCTGTCACCTCAAATCGTGCCCACCGCACCTGCCCTGCCCAGCATCTTCCCCAACTCTGGCGAGCATCTTCTCTCTCCCAACTTCGGCGACCTTAGGAAAAGGAGGGGCTCGGGGGAGGCAGACCGGTCAAACGGTGGGGATGGGGACGGGCGGCTTTGGGTCCAGGCGGTGGTGGGGACAGGGGTGGGAGTCTTCGGTTCTTGGCGGCTGGTAGGGACAGGGGTGGGCGGCTTCGGGTCCTGGCGGCGGTGGAGGCGACCGGACTAGTTCGAGGCGGGGGCGTCGCGGCCGCTCTTGCCGGAGTTGGAGAAGAAAGCGGCGGCGGGAGGGGGAAGGGAAGTGGTGGGAGGCCGCCGCGGACGCGGTAGGGTCTCGTCAGAGCTCCGTGGCGCTGCGGCGGGGCATGTGCTCACTAGACAGAGCTGGAGGAAGAAGAAGATGTCCAATGCGTTGGATGAAGATCGGACGATCCAGCTTCGCCGCCTCAAACAACACAAATTTTAGGCACCTGAAATTTAGCGATTCCCTTTATGTTGACACTATCTCTATTTGTCTTCTATGTTATCTTATCTTATCTTATCTTATACTCTTATAAAGCAAAACTCCACTAGCATATTTCTCTGTGATTTCGTGAAGCCATGTCATCCAGGAGGGCCCACAACCATAGGTTACTATGCAGAGGCTCTTTGTTTCCGGTACACGAACTGAACAGTTGTGCTTGCTCCACTTCGCCTTCCTCTGTCTGCATCCAAAGGCACTCACGGTCGTGAGAAGGCCGAAGCCCAAGGGGTGCACATTTGTGACGAGATGCAACTCTCCATCCGTTTATTACCTCATTAATCTATTGATTAATCAATTCAGCTTTCACGAAAAATCTTCTCCCATTCCCAGTACTATTACCGCTCCCACTTCCCATTAAGGCCAACCAAAATGCTCCACCATCACCATGCATTGATTTGCCTTCTCCATTTTTATAACAGCTATGCCAACTAGAGTATATATATTGGACTTTCTTCAGCACCATCGTCACCTTGATCTCCACGACTCCACTTCGAAGGTGCCTGAGATTTCTCTGGCAAGGGCTAATCACTAGTTGAGAAACGATCTTTCATCCATGGCCCAAAAAGTATTTAGTCCCGGTTTAAAAATTACAACCGTGACTAAAGGAGGGACTAGACCTTTAATCCCGGTTATAACGGTTACCAAGATATGTGAGTGCCAGAATCTTTAGTCCCGGTTTGAGACACGAACTCGGACTAAAAGTGTGAGTATTAGTCTCGGTTTGAGACACGAACCCGGACTAAATGTACCTTTAGTCCTGGTTTATATTTCAAACCCGGGCTTGGTTCGAATCTGCATAGCCGTAGATCGAGAGCTTTAGTCTCGATTGCATAGTCTCGGTTTATCCCGGTTCCTAAAACTAACATTAAAGGGGTTGAGAACCGGGACTACAAGCTTCTCTACTAATGAATTGCTACTACAATGTAGCTTCTATATAGATATGCCTCGTCGCTGCTGTGGTTCGGCACACCATGACCATGGAGGCATTGCCAACTTCCTCCTGGCCTATGAGGCTATCCTCTCTCTATTATTTTCAAACTGACAGGAATCTAATGACTGCAACTTCCATGTACCAGGAAAACACTCCCAATACATAGTTCAAAGGGGCTCCGGTTGGCCTACAAGGTTGTCCATGCTTCAGAAAGTCATTTCACATTGCATTCAGCTTGTGGTGGACTTTGCAAGCGGTTGGCGTTCCATTAAGTGCGTATGCACGATCTCTCACCGAGCTACGGTGTTCTCAGGTCTTGTGTCGGCTTGGGGTGTTAGGTATGTTGTCGTATTTTCTTGGGTAACAGCGGGATAAGCTCTATTGCTCTTGCTCTTTGTGCTGGCCGTTCTCATACATTCCTTTGTATTGTCCTTGCAGGCATAAATCTGCTCGTCATAGTATTTCTGTACCTGGCTCTTGACATTGACTCTCTAAAGATCCTAAAGTATTTACTAGGAGTTGCCTCGGTGCTTCACGTCCTCTCTTTTGGATTGGTACGCTGTATAAGTTTTTTTTTTCAAAAAAAAATTATCAAGTTACATGGGCATATGTCTGTTTTCAACTTTAACAATTCGTGATTATGGGCATAATTTGCAATGCAGGTATGCTGGCGCGGTGATTTGAGCAAGTAGGTTAGCACACAAGACCAACTGACTGGTGGACCGCACTCGTGTGATGGAAAACAATGTACAAAAATGTTTCATGTAGAGAGCACATGAATGCAAATTGCAGCTATGGGAGCCTTCTCTCTCCCTTCAACTCCTGTCCACAAGCGTTAATTTTGTTGCGTGGATTGTGGAATGGTTATTTTCAGTCGTATAATTGTCAACCTATTTCGTTGCATGTTAGGCACCTTTTCATGTCTCACATTTTCCAATTCTTCAAACTTTTAGCCACAAATTCGAGTAAGATACTACTGAAATACAAAATAGTAACGGAACCAGAGTAAGATATTACTGAAGAAATACAATGTTTTCTTGATTTGTTTCTTTTAACTATACTCCTACTATAGATAATAATCAAACACAAATATCCACATGATATGCATTTGCTCCGGCAAAGATCCCTTCTAAAATAGTAGTACTTACTTTAATAAAAGCCTCGAACAACACACCGGGACATTTAACTAGCCTCTTCCAAAAAAATGTGGAAAAAGAGACGGCAGGTACCCGGCTACTTATAATATAATAAAGGAATTTAGAACAACAAGAGTTATCATTAGGAAGGGCTCGTCTTGCAATTCAGGATCGTGCTGCACAAACCGCTCCACAAAAAGTTCAGTCAGCATTAGGCCACCCAGGACAGTTGTAAACGTCTGCAGGAGCAGAAGCATATAAGAAAGGTGTGAGTTCGACGAAGGTTTTTTTTAGGCTAATTAAACAAAAAAAAAAGAGAGTACCAGACTAATTGATTTCCGCTGATCATCTAGCTAGGTAGGCTTAGATGGTACAGTACGCATAGAGATGAGGGAAAAGGGAAGGAGCTAGGTTTCATTACATTACATTGCATACCACGAAGAAAATGTTGGGGAACTTCCACTTCCAGTAGTCGGCCATGCTCGTGTCTTGGTTCTGCGGTGTTGGGACGTGCGATCCTTCCTCCATCCTGCTGTACGCGGCGTCGACCAATGGCTGCTGCTGGTGAGGCAGGTTGCCTTGTCGCTCCGATTGCGATTGCCTAGCGGCGATGAGGAGGGTGGTGTGGAGGCCACCGGCAGCGGCGGCAGACATGGGTGAACCGGCTTGGCTGGCGATCGAGGGCAAAAATCTGAATCAATTCTCAACGGCGGCAGCGCGAGGGACAGACCGTTCCCAAGGCCGTGTTTAGTCTATTTGTGTTGTGTTATTAAGTATAATGTTGTGTTCGACTAAGAAGAAATAGCTCAGGTTTGTCGTGTCGTGTCGTGCGTTTTTAGGACTACTATGCATGAACCCGTGTCAAACACGATGCGCCCGCGTGAACGGGGGATCGGAACCGGAGGATCCGGGAGGTCAGGCTGGTCAGCGTCTGGAAGGCAGGAGCCGAGGAGCGCACGGCGGCGCGGCGTTGGCAGTATACGCGGATGACCGGCTGAGCGCACGCAGCAATCAACGGAGCATTAGAGCGGCACTGAACCCGTGACTTTCCACGTCTGTCCGATTCAGAAGCCTCCCTCTGTACGCACTAGTACAGCAGCAGCAGCAGCCGCCGCCCTGTACTCTGCAAAGCCAGCCTTCCCAAACCAAAGCATAAAACTTCAGAGCCTCTTGTTGATTTCTGAGCTGATAGGTCCGACTGATGCTGGTTTATTATAAGAAAAAAATACTATTGGCTGGCTGATAAACCCTGACTGAAACCAACAAGCGAACAAGCTGTCTGATGGTAGATCGTTCTTTTATTTGCAGTAGAAATGTGTGAGGTTACATTTTGCTTCCATACAGCTGTAAAAAGGCCATGTTCTCTCAGCATATGTACACTTGAGCTTCACAACGCCTGTTCTCGCTACTCAATCCCCTAATTAAACCGCCTACGTTTTCAGGAGAGAAACCAAATGCTTTGCGGTGGCTCCAAGCAACAACGGGAAGCTCACTTCGCAAGCTTCCATGCATCCTCTCTTCGGGGGGTACTGCCGAGGCGGCGCTTCAATTGGTATTGGTACGCCTTGGTGTTCTTTAAGGTTCAGGTGAGTCTCCCTACACCTGTGGAGATAGCCAACAAAACAAGTTAGGACTGTCTCCTCTGTGGGATAGACTGCATATGTACATATCTCGACAGACTTCACTTGCAAGAAGCAGCGAAGACATTCTGAATGAAAACCATTGGGATCCAACCCAGCAGCACTGGATTCAAGCAGTAGTAAATAAACACTATCTTGGAACGTTATAGGGTCGTTTTGGGTCACGGTTACAGCTTACAGGTTACCAATTCAGAGAAAAAAAAGATGTTCACGTCAATAGGTCAAACTGGTAGAATGCTGAACGTGAGAAATATAATAGCAGGTTCTACTAGATTCAGAACAGGTTGGTCATATATTTTTCTATATCATCAGGACTGGTAGGAAAGGAAGTACACCTGTCTTCGTCTCCGATGCTGCAAAGCATAGCAAGAACGAGCTATTACATAACAAGGAAGAAAGAATCCCGCAAACTGAAGAGTTGCCTGAAATAAACGAAAGCTTTAGTGTCATGCATCGATAATACACATGGAAAAATAGAAATTCAATCCCACTATGGACTGAGCAACAAATGAGAAATGCAGAAGTGGGCTGTAATCAATCAAGGGCAAATCTTTGCTAATGAAACACTGTCATCAATTTATCTTGAAGTATTTGTTGTTCTTTTGCAGCCACTGGGGTATACAATTTTGTAATAGACATTAATTAGCTCTCCTCTCAGCATCATGCCATTTCAACATAAACATATTACACGATCTTGGCATGACATGTTTATAACAGAATGAAGCATTATCGCACTTCGACAGCATTCATAGCATTATGCAGAATATGGAACTCAAACAGAAGCAGGTCACATCATCTCAGCAGGACATGTTAATTAGGTTTGTTGAACTCACACTGAACAACACTGTTGCATCCTGTAGCATGCTAACATCCCTCACAATGACAATTACATGTCGTACAAGCAAAAGGAACATCAACTGCAATAAAGCCAATATTAGATTCCACTACCCAACACAAATAAGTCAACACAACTAAGTATTAAGTCTGTGAAGAAAGAGCTTTTTTGACGTACAATTAGAGCAGTGGTTCGGCAGCATGTGACACCACTAGAATTTGCAGATACACAATCATCAAATTCAGCTTGCAGCAGCTGCTGCTCTGCGATGGCAATGGCTAGAAAATGGGAATCATGAGGATCGATTCGTCCAACCCAGTTTTGCCTGTTTACCAAAAAAGATCACCCATTCAGAATATCTACAATGGGTCACTCAAAGAATATGCACAAACTGGAGCACCACATCTGCGTTACTATTGAAAATTAAGGGAAAACAACTGTGCTTCCTTAATTGCTGTTAAAGGGTACAAATCACATTGTTCAAGTTACCCCCACAGAACATAGGTTATTTTCACAATATGTTTTTCATTTAGAAAGGATTGATTTCCGCAAATTGAGCAAAGCATAAAGAATTGTATCAGCAAGTACCTGAGATCCATGTCCATTTCATCTGAACAACACTTAGGTGGAGGGATGACATAATTCGGGGAGTAAACCTGTAGAACATAGGGGCAACAAGACAGATATGAAAACTTCAACAAGAACAGCACAATACAAGATACATAGAGTGTTCCCATTTCTCCTTATTTCTTCTGCACTGCAGTTGCATTGAAATGGAATGCTAATATAAACCTACTAGATCTATCCAAATCAAATAGCCGATAGTAGACTGGAAACTCGGCAAGGTCAAAGTAGCATGCCACACCATCTAGAAATGATATGGTACACAGTATAAAACAGAGAAAAAAATTGCTACTTTTGGTCTTGTAGCAGAATAACAGAAACATCCACCTGGTTGCAGATTTCACATGTAATATTGCCCTTCTTGTTGCACCATCTCTGTATGCATTTCCTGTGGGCAAACTGCATAAAACCAACGCCAATAGGTCAACACACAATTAGCATTTTCTTCAACAGATACTCCTAAGTCACGTGTACAACAACATCAAGGGGGAAAAGGTTTATTGGATAACTGAAAATGGGGGTATAGTATATATATTAGGATGAGGATTATCTATCGCTTGAAAATTCGGATGATTGGACCTGTCCACAACAAAATCGGGTTTTCTAGAACTCATTCAATCCTAAGGATACTGTTTAAGACAAACCCAAAACCTGGCACAGCACCTGCAAATACGGAGGCCAAGTGAACAGACGATGAAACACTGACAGTCTGACACTGTTTCACTTGGTCGACGAAGATAAAACAATCACCCAATAGAACTTTAATGCTCCTACAGTGCAAGCCTAGAGCTATTAGAGATGTCCACAATAAAGAACAGCAAGATAATCACGGAAAAGAAGGAAGCAGGTTGAACATAAACACCGACATAACCAAAAGCAAATTTCCAAAACGCAGCGACGAGAAGAAAGGGTAAACCGAACTTCAGAAGCGCAGAAATTGCATCTTGAAATCTATCCAGCACCCAAATAATCACCATTCTACTCCAAATTTACCAACCACTACAGTTTGACTCATCTCGGCACCTCAAACATCCACGCAAAGAAACTTTCAGAGGGAGATAGGGAAGGAGGGAGAGAGAGAGAAACAGAGGAGAGCGCTCACCTTGAGTGTGCCAGTGCAGGCGCAGGGTGAGTCCATAGCGGCCTCCTCCCCCTCCTCCTGGCATATCCGGCACTCCACCCCCTTCCCGTCCACCCCCATGCCGACCTCCACCTCCACTTGGCCTTCGCTGCCGGAGCAGCCATCGCCAACGAGCTTCTCGGTGCGCGCCATCTCCAAGAAGCTTTCTTGGAGCAGGTGAGAATGAGCCAAAAGGCGGGGCCTTTTTTAGCTCCGGGGACACCACCAACTCCAATAACAAGAAGAGGGAAGAGCGGAGAACAAATACAAAAATGAGGTAGCCTTTACCTTTTCTATTATCCTAATACTCCGTGCTATTTTATCAATTTCTGCATTTCTTTCTTGCTCCAAGCCTTGCAGTTTGTTTGTTTATTTATGGGGTCCAATGATGAGTGAGTGAGTGGGTTTGTGGGGTTAGTGGGCAATGGATAGCTTCCACTCCTGCTAGAGTGCTAGTGGAGGATGAGTTGATACTGACACGCTGATACTGAAAAGTCTTTTCCTTTACTTCTGATTATTTTCCTTATTTTTCTTGAAGTGAAACATTGAAACATCTCTCTCTGAATTTTGTGAGAAATTTTATTGCAAACTTTCCGTTCCCTCTTGTCTGAGCTGGGCCCTAGGTGACTGTGTTGACTCGGGCAGGCACTAGGCAGGGCTGGGATTAAAATCCCTTTTGTTTTGTGTTTACATTAAAATTTAGTAAGCTTTCCCTGTAAAAGAAGAGATCGGCCGATTATGTCGAATGTAAAAAAAAATCTCTTAATTGATGTATATTTACGAACCGGCCGAGGAATATTCTTTAAAATATTTTGAGAGAAGTATGATGTCCAAGATATCTTGACGTGAGGATAAGAGATAGCTGGGAGCATGAGTTAATCTGCATACACGTAAATAAAATTAAATGAAGCCAGCCGAACTCCTTGGCCCTGTTCGCTGGGAGAAATTTGTGAGAGAGTGAACAGTGAAAACCAGCCGTGTACAGTGAAATTTGGTTTGTTTTCTTACCAGCCGAACTGCCCCCATATGTATCACGTTATACGGGCTATCTCCAATACGAATCTATCCAGAAGCAATATATTGATACTGTAACATTTCTGGTGTTACGAGCTCATTTAGCACCGTAATTTAGGCCTAAGAAAAATTTCTGAAATGATTTTTTTTGGATTTTAAAATTTAAAAATCAGCTTTTAGCATCAACGGTAAAAATCGGAAATTATATTTTAAATCGCCAATTGTGGCGAATTGTTTTGCGCAAAATAATTACATAACACCTAATATTTTGTTCTATGGCTGGGTATGGAGTAGGACCTGTCGCGTGAAATGTTTAGGGACGATGGTCGATAGGATTTAAATCTTTTAGAATGCTGACGACGTATCGCTGTTCACATTTGCGTCGCACCGCGTCGTCGAGTCCCGTCGTCGTGCCGCTGCTCCCTCTCCCTCGCTTGCGTCGCGTCTGATATTTTTATGTGAGCGCCACCGTTCGACTGCCCGTTTCTTCGCGTTGTCTCTGCTGCAATGAAGGTCGCGACCTTGTCCGTCCGCGTTAACCGCAAGCTGCCGCCGGCTCCACGTTAGGCGAGCCAGCCGCCCCTGCCGTCGTGTTTAAGAAGTAACCGAGCTCGCACGCGCCTCCTTGCTTGTTCGTCTTGAGCTAGTCTGTCTCTGCTTGTCCTTCTTTTCTTTCGCCGCTTTATGCCTCTCTGTCTTGAGGTCAAAATTTCTGCTGCTGTGTCTGTCTCATCTTTGAGCACCCGACGTGTCCGCAGTGCCAGCGCGTGTACGACGTGTACCTCCCTCGTGCTGCTTCTGTTCCTTCCTTTTCTACTGCCGTGGAGGAGACGCCCCAGCTTTGGTCTGCCCGTTCGGTCTGCTGCTGTTTGCTCTGACCTTGCCTGCTACGGCTTGTCTCAGTCTGCTCTCGCCATGTCCTTTCACGTTTCGTGTGCGTGTAGGCGTGCAGCCATCGGCCACGCTGCGCCGTCCTTCCATGTCCCCGCGTCCACGCTCTGGCATGCGTGCTGTTTCCTCATTCTTTTCCCTTTTTCTGCTCTCGTGCTGGATGCGCCACGGCACCTCCTCGCACTCCGCAGCTGCTTCCGTTCCTCCGCGTAGCACCAGCGCCGCCCACCAGTCGCCTCTCCTTTCCCCCTTGCGGCCTTGCGTGTCCTTGGCTCAAGACGCTCGCTCTGCCTTTCGGCGTCCGGGCGCAAAGACCCGCCATCATCATCGCGTCGAGCTCGCGGATCGCCGACATCTGCGGCCGTGTCGGCCGCAGCACCACGCCACCTCCCCCCGTCCCTTGCTCCCCGTGCCGCCTACGGTCCGCTGCTGGATGGCGGCTCCGCAAAGACCGCTTTTCGCCTTTCTCCTCCTCGCCGCCAGCAACCTGCGCGCGCCTATGCCGCGATCCGCGGCGCCCTCCTTTTCATCCCCGCGTCGTGAGTCCCGCCGTAGCCCACGCCTCCGTCGTCGTCGAGCATCGGGCGCCCCATCGCCGCAGCGACCACGCCACGCTGCCTCCTCCTCTTCACACGAACCCACACGCGCCGCCCCTGCCGCGCTTCTCCGCGCTTCCTCCAGCGTCGGTAAGCCGCCCGCGCGCCGGGCGTCGCCCGCGCCACCCTCCTCCCACGCGCCTCGGTCCCGCGCTGGAGCCGCTGCTCCTCGGCGCCCGTCTTTGCAGCCTTGACCGCACCCATGGCCCGCCGCTCTCACAAGCAATTTTCCCCACCGGTAGTGCGGTGGCCGGGATTTGGCCGGTCGCGTCGTCCCGTGCCCCTCTGCTCCTGCTCTGCTTGTGAAGAAGGTGAGGAGGTGGGAAAATTGTAATAGAGGATTTTTCAGGGTTCTCAATGCGAAGTCAGTGACTCGTAGGAATAGTAGCGCACCAAATAGGTAGAAGACTGTGGACGTTTTTGCAAAACGGTCACGGCACCCCAAAACTTCCCCACTGGCTGCTCGCCGCTTCGCTTGGGCGGTCTTGCGCTTTGCCAGCGTGCCCGTCCGCTTTGGTGCGGCGGTGCTGTCATGAGCCATCCACCGCCAGCAGATGGGTATGGGCGGGTCACATGCCCCGCTGGGGCGCCGTTCGCGCAAGACTGGGCCGTCGGCAATAAGATCGCTTGGGCCGGCCTAGTGTCGCGCCGTCTGGACCGCATGCGCCGTTCCGCGTTGGGCCGTGCGCATGCTTGTGGGCCGTCGGGCCGATCTGCTGGCCGCGGGCCCTTTAGTTCGTAAAGTAATTGCTAAAATAGTTTTGGGAAATAAACTGGTAAAATCAATATAAAATTATGTAGTTGTCCAAAAATAGTGAAACTAGTTTTGTTGACTTTCTAAAATCACGATCTACCTAGTAGTGTATTTTGTTCACATAGGTGCGGTATGATTTTAGGGTTGCTCTAATTATTTTAAAATGCTTAAAATAAGAACTTATAGGAATTTCCGTGATAAATTGGTAATAGTGTTGGATCTAAAATTGTTACGGTAGGTTCCTAACAATATTAGCTGCTCACTGTAAATTTCGTAACTCCAGAATAATTAGTTTGGTAGATAGATAACGATGTCCTATTTCGAATAATGAGTAAATCGATAGAATGAAATAAAGAAATAACTTGGGTTGTATAACTAAAATATTTGTTGAGAAATAGCATCTTATTCGACAACATGGATATGTAGCCTAAGTACGGTCGTCGTTAGAACTAGTTCGTTAACTTGAGAGGCGTAAATCATATTTTTACGAGTCACGATTGCAGTCGATTAATTACGTCTTTGCATTGCATCGCATTGCATATCATATAGGTACGATGATGAATCAATGGATCAATTGAAGGATGATTGGGAATTCGAAGATGGTGTCATGGTATTCTCTCCAGGAGATGATGCAATGGGCTTTCTGTTCAGTTGATGGTGGATGATCTGAAGATGTAAATACTAACTTTTGGCTATATTTTACCCAGGCAAGCCCCGGTGCATAACTCATACTTTTCTGCAGTTTAAATTATATTTGTGCATTAAGTTTTAAGGAGTTGAATGAAACCCACTTGCATATATATATTTTTATCCTATGAATCTTACTAGTATGACAGGATCAGATAGATTGCTATGCTATAGGAACTGGTAGAAGTCGAGTGATTGCCTGTCACTCGCGAGATATATGAAATATGTTACTGTATTATTATCACTCGGAAAAATATAAATGATGGAAAGAAAAAATGGTGACCGGACAGGGATATGGTTTGGGTTTTGGTGGGTGTAAGAGGTTGTGTCGCCGTGGACGCGGGGCATGTCTTGGTTACACTGCTTTTTCTGTCTGTGTCGATTAAGGACCGGTTGTTGCATAAGCCATCGAGGCAAGTCACAGATTTATTATCCTGAGCACATACTTGTGTATGGGCGCTTGGAAGACTTGTTGCTCTCTTGTCGTGGGTTCCGGCTCTTTTTAGACGGACTGTCAGGGTTTTGTTTTGGTGGAGGAGATCGTTGCACCGCACTGAAACCGAGACTCAGGGGCAGGGGCTTGGAGTCCTAGTTTGGACAGGGACATAGGACTTCAGGACAGAAGGGTGATGGGTTGGTCCTGCTTGTGCCTTGGGTACAAGCGGGGCGTGTGTTTTCGAGGTACCCAGCTGGGGACATTGATTCACGAATCGCCGTCAAATCAGTACGGCTTGTCTTATGACTAGCACCGTAGTAAGAACTGAAAGATGAAAGATGGAATAAAAAAGGAAATCTGATTGCTTACCACCTGCTTGAACCTAGTACAGGTGCTTACATAGAATGGTTAGTTAATGAACTAACGCACTGCTAATAAAAATCGAATATAAGGATGCACTTTTAGTAATGCCCCTGCAGATGCAATAAACCCACAAGCCAGATAGCCTTGCATATCCTTGTAGTCTTTTCTTTCCTCCCGTCGGGTAAGTCTTGCTGAGTACAATTGAGTACTCAGGGTTTTATTCCCCCTGTTGCAGGTGATAGGTGGATGCTAGAGCCGACTCTTGTGTGTGAATCCCACCTGGTGGGCTCAGAGAGGATTTCCTTTACGCTGCGATCGTAGTGTTTATTTATAACTCTTACCAAATGTTTTACAAAGAAAAATTTTATAATCTGTTGTCATAGTTTACATATCAATGTTTCACCATGCCATG